TGATCAAAAGTGACAGAAATATTTTGTTACATTACAAATGTCTTTACTATTTCAAATAAATGCTTTACTTTAAAATGTCTATGTCAAAGGATACCAAAAAATGTATATCAGTTTCAACATTGATAATCATAAAAGATAGTATTACTTTACAATAAAGCTTACAGATTTGGCAAACGCTCCAGTGCCTATTTGTGTTCGCTCATGTCTCAAATGTTTCTATTTACAACTTGATTTTGAGCAATGTAGCCAATCACAGACATTTTTTTTGCTCACTTGAAGGCAATGGCCAATCAGGGGTGTTTAAAGGGATAGTTCATTTTGAAATTAATATTTGGTATGTTTTAGCTTACCTAGGTGTCCTAGTTTCAATTTTGATGTTTTTAGGTCAAACCGTTCTTGTTTATCAGTAATATAATGCAAGTCTATGGTCACCACTTCTCTTTGCATGCTCTTTGAGGTGGTGACCATAGACCTGCATTATATTACTGACAGATAAGAACGGGTTGGCCTAAAAATATCAAAATTGAAACTAATGCGGAAACAAAGACACCTACATTTTGGATGCCCTTGATGTAAGCTAAAACATACCAAAAAATCATTTCAAAGTGAACTATACCTTTAATTTAGTCAGAATCCAGAGTCACGAAACCTCTCATTAACAAAGTGTGGACAAGATGCAAGTCAAAGATTCATGGTGCAGTGCAGACGGCTTAACTGATTAGAACGGAAGTTTAACGCAATGAACTAACTTGAGTGACAGTTTTTTAATGATTATAAAGGAAACGGTCTGTGCATGCTTTCCAGGTTATATGATTAATTTAGAATTTGAAAACGTTTTGTTTTTCATGCTGCTAACATGGCAACTACCACGGAAATGACTACCAGATGTAAATTCAATCTCGAGACGGCAATGGATGACATAGTGATAACCATAGCATATGGGACAAAAATAGATGGCATGTCAAAATAGATGCATATTAAAGGGATACTCCACTTTTTTTGGAAATAGGCTCATTTTACAACTCCCCCAGAGTTAAACAGTTGAGTTTTACCGTTTTCGAATCCATTCAGCCGATTTTTTGATATTTAGAAGAATATCAGTAACCAGACAGTTTCTGGTCTCACTGACTACCATAGTATATATTTTTTTTCCCACTATGGAAGTCAATGAGACCAGAAACTATCTGTTTACTGATATTCTTCTAAATATCAGAAAATCGACTGAATGGATTCGAAAACGGTAAAACTCAACTGTTTAACTCTGAGGGAGTTGTAAAATGAACCTATTTCCAAAAAAAAGTAGAGTATCCCTTTAAGGAAAGTAAATGCTTACTAATAAATGAACAGAAAAATATTCAAATTTTAGTAATAATATTTTTTTTTTTCAATTCTATTCTAATCATTTAAGTTCAAGTAAATCAAGTAATGACTTGTAAATAATCTTAAATGTCTCACTGCACATTGCTATTCTTGTTATGGTGGAGCCATTTGCACTCTCACTAATTGATTTGATTCTGGAACCAGGCCTGTCTAGGTTGAGAAGAGAACCTCTGTTGTAAATATAATATTGCATCAAGCAGATGGAAAAAGAGCAACAGCCCTCGGGTGATTGACGGAGATTATGCAGCGATGAAGATGATCTGCAAGGGCCGCCTGCAACATCACCATTTTGCCAGAGAACTACGCAGAATAAAGTGCGACAGCTCGTCTGTCAGACTGGAGCCTCTGACTTTCACCGTACCCTTGCCGGCAGGTTTGCGCAGGAGTTAACTGACTGACAGTCGGCACGCAAACACATCTCATCCTCCGCCTAGCAGCAAATGTATGCACAGCAGGGGTGTATAAATTGTGCTGCGCAATGGAGATCAGTTGGGTAATAGATGATGAGGTTCTCGGAAAAGGTCATCCTTAAATGTCAGTGCTCTGTCTCAATGGCTTTCTCACTTCTGTCACAACGCAACCACAGAGCGACTCCATCCGTCACAAAAGAGTGCAACTGCGCCATCAGCTAGCCATGGGGGGTGGGAGGGTCTTAAGATAACTACTGGCCTAATAAACTTGGTCCAGTGGGCCACGTCCTTACCTAATCACATTCCTCTCCAAAACACACAGTATAATCCAAGCTTTCAATGTTCAAATGAATTTGAATTTCACAATGCGAGCCTCGAAACTATGATCATGAACTGTTTAAATGTCTCTAGAAGCCATCAGCTGAGAGTTATTTCTCATGTAGCTCTCGTTTTAAACTCGGAGCTCGCTCCAAACAAGCCTGGTATAATTCGCACACATTAAACAGCAACGAGATGCAGAGAGCTATGTTTTTTCAGGCTAAGTTGGTTTCTTTAGCCGAGTGCTAATCAGAATCAAACACGTCTGATTGGGTGGAGAGGCATGACTGATTGGCTCACGCTCTGTCGACTGCGCTCCTTCAAACCGTGCGCTGAGCCACTTTTACGCCTGTCTGCCAATTACACCGGGGTGGATAGCTGTCTGCCGGAGAGCAGGTGTCAATGGTGCAAACTCGAGTATGTGCACGAGTCAAAATATGCAGAAAACGCGCATGCGCATCAGCAAAAAGGTGTGAACATACTATGTCAGTGCTTTCAATAACTTTTATTTTGTCAATTTTAACTGCATTTAGTATAAGCAACTTAATTAGAATATTAAACTTACACTGTCAACTTTGGAGGTGAGGCTGCAAATATATACAGTATATACATATAATATGTAATTGTAAATATAATTTTTTTTTTTATTAATTTGTAGGAGGAAAATCCGAAGTCACAGTTTTGCAATTCAGTTTATTATCTGTACTCACAGATTCTTAAATTGTTCCCTCGGTTTATCAAATTGTGCCCGCGGATTAATAAACTGTACCCAAGAATTTCCAACTTGTCCGCTCAGATTTGTAAACAGTACTTTCGGTTGTTCAATCTGTAACAACAAATTCATAATCCATGCCCACACTTTCGCAACCCGTTCCTACAGTTTAGCAAACTTTGCAGTAATATGGTGGTAAAATAATAATAATTCATGATTTTTCCTGGGTCAAAAATTGTCTCTGTTGGTGGTGGACGAACACGGCCATTCACACACCCTACGAGCTACGAGCCCAGTACTGACAATAAATCCAAATACATGCAAAGAAACAGTTTATAATGTTAACTTATATTTATTCATAAAATAAAAATAATCACTGTCAGGACAGGTTATACAACAAAGTACTTAGAACTTATTTATATATTAAAATCTGTACATTTAAATGTAAAAAGTCACTGAGTGTATGATTTCAAAAGTGAACAACAAAGTAACACATTACATAGATAAAAGTGCCAGGTCTATGATTTTGCATTTATACTTCAGGACTTAGTGCACAGATCATTTGACAGAGATTGTTTTGTTCCGTCCAATGCTACGGTTGTCTATCAGATTCAATCGCGTATTTAGGTATGGTAGTCATTCCAGAAACTTTGCAATGTGTAGTTATCCATGCCATCCCCACTATAGCCAAGAATTTAAGCATGCAGTTAAGACAGCTGTATTCAATTTAATAATACACAATAAAACAATATACAAAAAGATTCAGTTAACGAATCGGGAGATTGTTCTGTTCTTGTGTTGGTAGACTACAGAGTCTTAAAATGAGGGACGGAAAACAAATCTTTGAAAAACTATGGGAACGGATTGCGAAAACCATGGGCACAGATTATGAATTTGTGGGTATGGATTGAACGAAAAAAAGAAAAAAAAATACAGTTTACAAATCTAAATGCACGGTTTGGAAATTCATGGTATGGTTTATTAATCCGTCGGCATGATTTGTTAATCTGAGGGAACAATTTAAAAATGAGTAGGACTGGTTTTTCAAAAAAAAAAATTTTCAAAACTATGACCACAGATTTGTGGGATTCGTTTTTTTTTTTTCTCCCACAAATGACTTGCCGGACGGGCTCTGTAGTTTTTGGTCAAAGCATGGGGACTTAACTTAATGCTCAGCTTAATGTAAAATGCTAGTCTAATGAACTTGGATCCACACTTGAACTTGGATTCAACTTCAAAACAGTTCAACTTTTGAGTTCAACTTCTTACATTGTTTGAACAACTCTAAGTTGGTACAAAAAAAATCCATAAGTTGAGTATACTCAAAGTCAAGCTGGTTACCTAGAGTTTTCTCAATTTCTGATTTTTTTTTTTTAGTGTGTGAATGTGTATAAATAAACTTGACACCTGCTATGGAATGACTTTCTGATGGCCAATTAGCCAAGGCCATCATTTCCCATTGTGCTAAAGGCCAGACGTCAGCGAGAAGGCCGAGGGCTGTTCCTCCCTGCTGTTTATTTATTTAAGTATCCTTGCATCTTACAGACAAAGTCAGATTGATAGATTAAGCTATCCAGCCTCCGGATCAATAGTCACAGAGGAACGAAGAAGCGACTGGGAACTGTTTAATGTGCACACACTGTGTTTCTAGTCAAAGGCGAACAAAATCCGAATGACGGAAAGCGGCATTAATGACCAAGAGCACCGACGATTAAATGTGAAAAGCCAACAAACCATGAGAAAAGAAAAGGCTCCCACGTGTAAGTCTGTTTGTAATGGTGTTTTGTGTGAGAGGGGGTGGAAGGGGGGTTAGCGAAACAAATACAGCAGCTACGGTAAAGTACAAATGGCAGCGCGAGCAGAAGCCAGCCCTTGCGCCCTGATCTGTTACCAGTTCCACCGACCATAATCCTGACATTAACAAATTTAAGAAAACGGGGGAAATGAATGGTCTTGGACCAATGGGTAGTGGGCCAACTTCTGCCAGCGCCATAAATCACATCCACAACAGGAAAGGAGCGGAAGAAAGCAGGAGCCTTGAGTCCTGTCCTTTCCTTCTAACTAAAGACTGTGTGTATTTGTGTGAGTGTATATGTGTGTGAGAGAGGACAGAGGCGGCTAGAGTTAAGAGCAGCATGAAGAGAGCAGCAGTCACACAGATCTACGGCCAGAGCGTTTACCTGGCCCTGTGCTCTGAGGGTATACTGCGTAGCCGCCTCTTCCACGGGCCCCCCTACCTGAGCCACGCGCTGCCGCCACTGCCGCCGCCGCCGCTACGGGACCGTACGCTGTTGCCGGGAAGCCTGTGCGAGGGGTGGGGGTGGGGTTGAGGAAAGAGGATAGTGGAGGAGAAGGCAGTGGGAACGACAGTACAAAAAGAAGGAAAGAGGACAGGAAATGAGGAGGAATGATGAAATAAAAGGCGAGGAACAGGGTGGAAAAGGGGAGTAGTGAAGGAATGAGAGGAATAGAGAGTAAACAAAGATGGAAAATGGTGTAAAATGAGTAATAGTGAAAGAATAAGAGGAGTGTGGCAGAGGGAATGAGAGTATAAAAAGAAGGGAAAAGGACAGGAAATGAGGAGGAAAAGTGAATTTAGAGGCGAGGAACAGGGTGGAAAAAGGGAGTCGTGAGGGAATGAGAGGAATAGAGAGTAAACAGAGAGGGAAAATGGTGTAAAATGAGCAATAGTGAAAGAATAAGAGAAGAGTGGATAGTGGAGGAGAAGGCAGAGGGAATGGGAGTATAAAAAGAAGGAAAAAAGACAGGAAATGAGGAATTATAGAGGTGAGGGGAAAAAGGGAGTCATGAGAGGAACAGAAAGTTAGGTAATAGGGTGTAAAATGAGGAATAGTAAAAGAATAAGAGTTGAGGAAAGGAGAAAAAAATAAGGAACAGGGCAGAAAATGAGGGAAGAGAGGAAAGAGAAACAAGAAAAAATGATGTAAAAAGGAGAGTTGAGAACAAAAATTGGGAACATGGTGGAAAATGGGCATTAGCGAAGGAATGAAAGGGAAGTAAAAACAGGGAACAGGGTGAACAGTGTAAGCGAAGAGGATAGAGTGGGAAACAGGAGTGGACAGCAGAAGAGGAAAGAGAAGGAACAGGGAGTAGTGAAGGGAGGAGAGGGAAAATGAGAGGAGAGGATAAATTAGAAAAAAAGCAGGATCAAGCTACCTCACAACATTACTGACTCATAAAGTTGCTGCAGTGTCTGTGCAGGTTCTGCAGGATGCTGTAATACACCGTTTACTGTGGGCGTCTTCCAAATGCGGAGGAGACTGCAGTGGCCCTAATGCACTCTGGGTATTTCTGCATGGGTGACCACGCTGCTCTTTAGCTTATCTGTTTGAAACACACAGCAGGAGGGCCACGGCCGAGCATCAGACTTTAGGATATGCTACTGAGCCTGTGCAGTCAAGTTACTGTGATAAACTAATTAGATTTCAGCTATAATACACATTTAAAAGGACTTAAAAAAGAATGGTTTAAATGTGGAAATAGAAATAACTACCGTTATTCAAGAACCTAACATTAGCCTGAAGAAAAGAAAAATCACTTTAGACTGAAATACAACAATAACGTAATTGAATCATTTTATTCGTGGGACTGAATTCGATGTGGCACCAAATATGTCAGATTATATTAACATCCTGTTGATATGTTTTGACATCAGTGGCATATGAAATATCTAGTCAGTAACACTTTTATGCACTCAGAATGTATTAAATGGTCTTATAAATGATTTAAAAAGTGTTAAAAAATCATACAAAAATAATTTATAATAAAAATAATTGACCGATGAAAATGAAAAGTATTTTTAGGCAAAAACATAAAAACAAAAAAGTTTTTTACATTGGCCTAATTTCATAACATTTAGTCATTTAGTAATTTTTTTTTTGCCTTTAGCATCACAACACGCAATAGACATTCATTCATCAAGCAAATTAGCATTTTCTACTCATGCAGCTTTATCTTCCATAACACCTCGTACAAATCACAAATTCACGGTCTTTGAAGAGATGAAAAGAGACACGAGACCAGGGGCGAGTCAGAAACCACAGCTCGACTTCCATAAAGGCAGAGAGGAATGAAATCCGGCAAGAGCCAAAAAGATGATCCAGCGCAACACTATAGGGTTAACTCCAACCATGACCGGCATCTGCAGCACAAAGGCGATATGGAAATGGCTCCACGCTCCCAACACTTTGTAGTCCACTTAAGTCACTTATCTCTGCGCTGCCGCTCATGTTTGGGCGGGAGAACGAGGGACCGAGACAGAGAGTCGTAAAGCCGAGCAGGCGAATCGTCCTCCGGTTTATACCTTGAAACCCAATCAATCAGGAGGATAATTTGGTCTCCAGGCAGTGTGAACTGATGCTACAGTCACACCGGGCCCCTGGTGCTGCACGGGCACCGTGATTTGTGAGCAGGGCTGGATGAAAGAGTCTTCATCTCCTTCCCGGTTTAGTGGCTCTTTATGGTGTTATTACGAGATTAGGCATCAGGGATTAATTGCTCGATTCCAAGTGCCCTTTAATTCACTTTAAGTGCATCACACAGGGGAAAGTAACAGGTACTGTATGGCATGGCAGCAAGGGAGAGGACGTGATGATGCATGTGTGAAAGTAAACCGACATGATGAATGCACTGCAAAGTCCAAGTTTCATGTATACAAGACATTGGCTTGATGGTTGTATGCATGACTACCTTCCACTAACAACAAAAGCTCTCTTCCAAAGCCTAGAGAGCTGCCTCTTTGCCTAAATAGCAAGCTGCTTTCTGAGGCAGCATTCTAATCATCATGTAAACTCACAAGTGACTTTTTCGGAAATTCACAGTTGATTCCAAAGCCCCTTTTCACACAGAGAATCCGGAAACTACTCTGATTGTGATGTGTAATGCACACATCGAAAACAAGTTCGCTAGTGTTGCACACGTTGTCACATCCAAATCAACACCGATTCCTTCACTCTAAAAAATGCTGAGTTGTTTTAACCCAATTTCAGGTAAAATGTGGACAAACCAGCCATTGGGTTAAAAATCTATGTAGAAATGTAAAAATGTAACCCAGTGGCTGGGTTTGTCCATAATTTACCCAAAATTGCGTTAAAACAACTCAGCATTTTTTAGAGTGAAGGAATCGGTGTCGATTTTGCAAGGAAAATCTAAAGGATGTGACAACGTGTGCAACACTAGCGAACTTGTTTTCGATGCGTAAATGTAACATGGACCTTTTATGTAGTTACTCAGGGTCACACAGGTTGTGTTTACGCTATTTGTCTCTCGCTGCCAGAAGACGGTCTCCCATGGATTTGTGGAAGGTTTCGGTAATATTTTGTGAAGATACTGGAAGTGCAAGTACATTTTTTCATCATTTTTTTGGTTTCTGAGTTGGGTGTATACGTTTCCAAATCTAAATTTATATTGCCATAATCACTGTCTTGTTGGCTCAAACACAGCACCGTTTTGAATCATGTCAGCAATTCCTAGCAACTGTTAGCTCGGCTTAAAATATGTAATACACAGCGGGGTTAAAAGCCGCCAAGTGTATAATGATAATCAAATGAAAACGGAGCCACACAACTTTTCAGGTTTGAGTATTTATGTATACATTTAACTTTGTTGGACTTTCACAAACAATGTTGGAATTTAAAATGTTTAAAATTGAGTTTACTATGCACCGATCACTCGTTTATTTATTAAAAATATGGCCTGTTTTTAATGCAATAAAGCTCATTTGTATAATTATTACTGTTATTATTATTATTAATAATAATTTTACATGCAGCTGCCACACACAAACCTAATATAATTGTAATTACAATATTTTATGATTTTATTTATTATTATTTATTGCAAAACTGTGCAGCCCCTTTCTATCCATGATATTGATCCATAATAGAGGGATGATTATCATAATAGAGGATGAGGGATGTATGTATTGATATCTATCTATACAGATGAACAAACAATATCAATTTATACAAATAAAATAGTACTGAATTATGTGTGTTGTTATAACTAACCCCTCTGTCTGTTACAATTAACCCCACATATGGGGTAATTTGTAACATTTGCACTTCTGTCACTTCCAGTGCAACTGTACGAAAATGGTAGGTCCTAGAAAAAAACTTTAAGTGTTCATTTGTAGCAGAGAAGTGTATGTTGCTTGTATAAAAAAAATAAAATAATCTAACCTAATTATTTTTTTAATTAATTGAGCCAAAACCAATATGCGTTAGTTTGTGCCCTGCTGATCCCAGCAATGTTACTAGGTCCCCCTCCCGTAATCAAACCTGGGCTACAACAGACTCTGAGGTTAGCATGTTGCTAAGCTAATGTCACAGATACCAAGTAAAATAACTTGTTTTAATTACCCTAAACTATTTTTTTTACCAATATTGAAATTTATTGCTTACAATTTGAGAAAAGGAGGCTGAACATTTCAAAGGGAAAACATTTCAAACATTTTCAACATTTCAGGAAAACATTTCAAAGGGGTAGTTCACCCAAAACTGAAAATGATATCTTTTGTTCACGCTCATGTTGTTGGGAAGCTGTAAATGGATCACACATTTTTGAAGAATGCTTCAAGTATTTTGTCCCTACAATAAAAACCAGCGGGGTCCAAAAATAACATTTGAGCCCACTGACTATAGTGTTTGGAAAAGCAAAACAACAAAACATGCGACACGTTCTTTTGTATTCCACAGAAGAAAGTAAGTCGTACAGTTTTGGAGAGATTACTTTTTTTGGTCAACTATTCCTTTAAGGCTCATAACGCCTTAAGCAAGCAGCTCACTAGGTCAAACTGAGCAAATGAGCGGTATGGCACTATTGTACATGGCGGTAACATGTCTTGTCTTCTGTATTTGTGTGTGCTTGGAAAAGAGAGCTAGAACGTGAGAGTATGAGTGAATGCCCACGTGTGCGTGTCAAAGAGACAGAGAACCACTCAGCTTGCTCAAATCTGCAGTGTTCAAACATCATAATTAAATATTATCATTTTAGTGAACAATGAAGGACATCCACTCAAACGCTTCGTCAAAGTCATTATTATAATATAAATATAATTATAGAGCAGCTCTCTAATTAAAACACACATCTTTGGCTGCAGCGGTCCGTTCATGATTGAAAGCCAATAGACAATAAGTGGGTGACACTGGCAGATGGTTGGGTTCACATAGAAGGATGGATGGTAATTAGCCCTGTCTCTTACGAGTTCCCTCCTATTCTTCAGCACAGACGCCCTCCAAACCCTCATATTAGTGGCCTTAATAACCTTTCATGTGCTGCTAAT